AGCATCGATATAAAATAACAGTCATTATTATACATTTCACGTTTTTACGTTGAGTAGCCAGCAAATAATAGTGTTTTGTAATTTTTAATAAATTAATATATATATAAAAATTACATTTACCATGAGTGCCAGGATCAACAACCTGTTCATCGCGTGAACCAACTTGGCAGGTTTTTTCGAATAATTTCAAAAGAGCACCCGAATAGTCAACGAAGTCCCATGTTAACGATGTTTGATCTTGTTGTACCACTATATAGAGCATTATTAAACTTTAAACTCACACAAATTGAATATATATATATTAGGGTTGGTCAATTTGTAGGGGGCCGAAAAAATCTTCAAGTGCTCATCGCGATTCTGGCATTTCATCCCAAGGAACCGTAGGTCTAAAATGAATTTCGAGCCAGCCAATTTTTCTATCAAGATATTTTCCAAAACGCCCAAAAATCGACTTAGACATTGTATTAAAAATTCAAAAAAACATTATTTTTTCTCTAGCCAAATGTGTATGCGAGGGTTTTTGGGGTCGAGGAATCCATTTTTGACATTTATTTTGCCATATCATAAGGTTTTTTACGATTTCCATACAAAAACTGGCAAAAATGGTCGTTTTCTTCTTTTTTTTCCAATTTTTTTCTGTTGATGTCGATTTTATCATCGGATTAAAAAATTATGTTCTATAAAGTTGTTCAGAATGATGATAGAAATTTTTTGGGTCAGCTGCCCTCGAACTCCCCCCAACCCCTAGGGGGTCATAGCCCCTTAACCCCTCCGAGACAATTTTCACAAAATAACCCATAGTCTCATAGTATTTGACATACAAATGGGGGGATCTTACTTTTTGTGAAAATTGTCTCGGAGGGCATCTGGAAAAAACATTTTCTTCAAAATTCGGCTTCAATTTTTGGGTTTCAGATCAAAAAATCAGGGGTTAAGGGGTTTGACCCCCGACCCTCCTAGGGCAAAAATGCTTGTTAGGACACATAGAACCAAAATCGCGATGAGCTTTTGATGCAAAAAAATTGACCCACCCTAATATATATATATGTAATATATAAAACTTACAATCATCATTAATTTGCAAAATGCTATTTCTAAAGCTATCTCATAACACGAGAATAATATAATATAAAATATTTGTGTGTTGTTACTTCAATTTTTTTATTTATAATAAATTCTATTAATTATTTTCGTTGCTACTATTGCAAAACTTATTTAATTTTTACAATTTTGAAATAAAATTTGAAGAAAAAAATATATGAGAAATTTGCGAAGTTTGCAAGCTTCATTGTTTTGCACGATCACTCAGAGATGGCGCTCCTTCAACGGAGTCATCTTCAAATACATTGTCAATACCTAAAACCTGGTATAATTTATACAGTACATCTATTTCACCAAATATAATTGCATCGTCTTCATGGTCAAATATATCTTCGTTAATCTCGCGCAAAATTTGCAACAAGTTGGCAATCGGTGGAATTTTCGGTGACATTGTTTGCCTTTGATGTGACTTTCGTCTATTTCAACCAAGAATTGGTGGCTTGAACGAGGCATGATTCTTGTTTTTTGAATTTTTGTCAGTTCGTCGGGATGGTGGAACTGATTAAGAGTCTTTATTTTGTTTTATACAATTTTGAGTCAATTGTATGACCGACCCGATGCCCCAAATCACAATTAGCCACTTTGGAATGCCTAATTCATGTTTGAATTTGAGGTGGCTGTAGTATTCCTGCCAACGACTTTTGACTGGAGATGTGAGATTGGCATTGAATTAGGCTTTGAGTTAGCCTTTGTCACTTTCGTTGGCTTTGACACCTTCTTCTTGCGTGAATTTGACACATTTAATCTAGTCGATGGACTGACAGATCTACGACGCTTGGGTAATAACTTCGGCTTTGGATGCACGGTCGGAACATCAGTGGTCATAATATCACACGGAATCGAAATTATGCTGGTGTGATTGTTTTCGTTATCAACCATCCCCCCGACATGAAAAAAGTGACATGGTGGCGCCATGTACCTGTAATATAGTGGTGAAAGAACAAACTTTGCATGTGCGACAACACAACGTATTTGCGACCACACTGTGATAGACGATTTGTTTTTTCTTCTACTTTTTTTTAAACGAAATAAATTTTAAATACAAAAATAATGAAATCGCAAGGAATCTTTCTAATTGTAAACATTTTATTTTTGAAAATAGATAAATTTTATGATCACTCTTTGCGACCACGCACATTTTGCATTTGCGACCACAAATTATTTCATCCAAGTTGATAACAACTAACATCAATAATGTGGTCGTACATGCTCTTACATGAAAATTTGTTCTTTCACCACCATGTTGTACATGGCGCCACCATGTCACTTTTTGCAATACACTGTCATGTCGCAGGGATGTTATCAACAGAGTCAATCACATCGGTACTGTTTGCATCGATATCAACAACAACATTTGGCAGGGACTATCGCGGTATATTTATAGTAAGATATTTATTTATAATACTTAGAAATAAGTCTTATTTCGTTGCGTGCACGCTACATTGCAAACGCACGACTCTGCTTGTACATAGACAGAGACGAAGAGCGCAAAGGGTACTCTGTGTTCTCTGTGTTTAAACAGAGTCTGTTTGAAGATAAAGACGACTTGAACTGACAAATATTCTTTCTAAATAGAGTGTAAACATAAAAATGTGCATGCTTAATAAATGATAAATAAATAATTTTTTATGTTTTGTGTTGTGAATGTTCCAATTAAGGTTGAATAGAGGATCGAATTTCCGATATGATTTTTGGCACTATTCACGAGAGTTGATGCGATGCCATTTACCGTAAAGGTCAAACATATACTATACCGCAATATCACTGTAAATTCTTAGTTGTAACTAGATAATTTACAATCGATTTATTGTAATTACCATTATCTGTAATTAAACAGTTGATATGAAATTGTTTACCGGAAAATCCATAGCAATTTATCACATCTTTGTTGGAATTGGTCGTGGAATCGGTACATAAAGTGCATTTGTCATATAATTTGGGTGTTATGCGTCGTTTGCGTGAAGCAATTCGGAAAAAGCGGCTGGAATTATGGACAGACAACTCGTGGTTTTTGCATCACGATAATGCACCGGCTCATAATGCATTAATTATTCGTGATCATTTTGCCAAAAATTCAACTCATATCGTTCCGCAACCACTCTATTCGCCTGACTTAGCACCGTGTGACTTTTGGCTATTTTCTACACTCAAAAGACCACTCCGGGGACACCGTTTTGAGTCGATAGAAGAGATTCAACGCGAATCGCTACGTGTTTTGAAGGCTATACCAGAAAGTGACTTCACACACTGTTTCGAGGACTGGAAAAAACGTTGGCGTATGTGCATTGCAGCCGGGGGGGATTACTTTGAAGGCGACGAAATCGATTTTGAAGAATAAATAAAGAGGTTTCATTTTGTTAATAAATTACCGGTTTTTTTTGTCCACAATAGTATGTCTAGACAATAATAAGTTTTTGGACATTGATTCCTTAAACATAAAATCGCATCGTCCTGTTCTTTGTTCAATTTTATGTCCATTATATTCACCACTATCAACCAATTTATCGTTAGTCGGTAATATTGTCTTTGCTACAATACATTACGTTTTACAAGCTTGGAATGGCAAAAATAATAAAAAAAGGAAACAAGCTTTATGCGATTGCGTTGACATACAAACCGAATACTCTGTTGTTTACATGTGCGCGTCTCACTTTCTCATTAAACATTATTTTGCACAGTTAAAGTTTCACAACGTTAGTGTATTTGAGTTTGTGAGCAGTGGCTAAATGAACGTAATAATTTAATGTAGTTTTTATTTTATTTTTTTACTCAACATTAAGCCATTAAATGAATTTATTTTTATTTTTTTCGTTTCAATATTGTCAATTATAAATTTAAAAAATACAGCCCTGAAAAAAATCGACTATAATTTTTACACAGCCCTGGAAATGCTATAGCAAGATCAATCGTCTATGTATTGATTCACATTTGAAACACAGTACTCTCTTGACACATCATATACACATAAGGAGCCGCTTAGCTGTTGTTCATTTCGTTGTCTTTGTTCTAAATAAATGAAAGCGAACTTTTCTTATCTGTGTATACGTTTATATCACAGAGACTAAATGAACGGAGCATTACAACTATATGTGCTAATGAGTTTACGTCTCGTTCTCTCTGAAACGAATGTATGTGCAAAATGTTACGAATATTTTTTGGTTGGTAAAACTTTACTTATTTTTTTTTTCAACATTTCCCTCTACTCTCTTTGCTTTCTTCAACTTACCGTTACTACTAAATCATTGTGCACAATCAATCTATTTACCGTCTTTCAAAAGATGTTCAATAAGTTACAACGGTTTTCTCTATTAAATTAATGTTGCGTATATTTGTTGTTTTTGCGCCATTTGTTCGGTGTCTTTTCTTTGACTTTTATTTGGTCGGTAAGCAGAGCTCTTGTTTAATTGGATCGGTGACAAAATAATATGATGATATCCTGTGTCTTAAATTAGTTTACCATGAAAACTCAACGATCCAGTATACATACCTGCAACACCCGAAGGCACATTGTTTTGTACTGCAAGTTTTTCTCTTCTTCATTTTCTTTTAGCCGATGTATAAAAACCCGGCAAAAGTGTTCAGTGCATAAACCAAGAAAAAGTAAAACAATGCCAAAGTTTTTGACGAGATTTTTCGGTTTTTGTAGTCTTATTGTTCACTGCAACTATTTGATTCCATTGTTCGGTTGATGGGAGTGGGGTGCTCATGGAAGGAGTGAAAACATAATAAAGCGACAATAGAACGACTTTTGGAAGGAAAAAAGGGGGAGAACGATGAATGCGAAAGACTGGAAACAAGAAGGGTCTTTACCGCATCATTGGAAGCAAATTAATTTCACATGAAAGACGTTTGAGAAATCAAGCCAAAAGAACAATACAACGAAGGAAAAAAAAAACATATATCAATAGAAGAACTGTATGTGTATTTGCAAAGTATTTATGTTATTTATAAATAATAATCATAATTGAACAATAAAAATTGATTATGAAGACCGCATAAAATGATTTTTTTTACAATAAATACGCAGAATATTGTTGATAAAAATAATAATAATAATATAGAATTGACGTTCCATGTTGATATTGGGTTTTCGAGCGAGAGAGGAAAATTCTTGCAATCACTCTTTTAACGGATTCAGGGCCAAGACGTCATTTTTTGATTCAATTTTCAATTCGAATGCGTTTAAAAAAACTTAAATCAGATAATTAATTCTCCATATAATATATTTCAGGACTTTTTTTTAATTTCTTTTTTTTTTTCTTTTTAAATATAATATTCGGTTTCAATAAATGGGTAAACAATTCATCGTTTCAATAAAACATTATCGTTAAACGATCGTCACAATCGATATGCATTTATAAATAGTGTGATGATTTTTATTTTGATAGATGAAATTCGGCACTCTATGTACCGTTGAATCGGTATACCAATTGAACTTGATAAATGGCGTTTTATTTTTAAAAAAAGATGCATTGTCACTTCTTTCTCAATTTTCGATAAAAAAAAATGTCTCGATCAGAAAAATTTCGTTTAATATCTATCAAAAAAAAAGTATGAAAAACTTAATGACTAGGACACCAATCCTTTATTATTGGACTATATTGTCGATTCGTTATGTCGTTTTGAAGAGTTAAGTTGCTTTCCAAAAAGCCGATGCTTTTCGGAAATTTTCGTTCATTTTACTTTTTAATGTGAAGGTTCCGTCAATTTTGCCATTAACCGAATGTTCAACATGATGTTCGGTTTCGATAACTGCTTCGGCAACAGTTACAATATGCTGTTCAATGGTGCCGCTCATTGTCATTTGATGGTGTTGATGTGCAACCGAATTTGCCATTGAATGTTTTAAATTTGAATTTTTGGCTGGATGTTTAACAGCAAGACGGTCTCGAATTGGCGTCGATTCCATGGCAATTGCTGCTTTAGGTGCTGACAAACGATCCGTAACCTCTTTTACGCGTCCGCTTAAGCGTACTGGCGATGTTCGATTAAAACTTGAATAGGCTGATGTTTTGTTGGTTGTTGCGTTGTTGTTGCTACGCGATGTACGCTGACCGGCAACTGTTGATGCATCAACTGGTGTAGATTTTTGCATTTTTTTTAGTGAATTCGAATTTTTTAATTGATTTGAAATGGCTTTTGGGGTGGCGCGATTTACAGACATATTTTGTGCATTAGCAAATTTAGTAGGCGAATGACGTTGTGATGAAACTTTCACTTCCATGCTGGTTACACACGTTTTTGTATTAGTATATTCAAGTTTACTTGCAACAATTCGTTTCATGCTACCACTACTACTTACGATCGGTTTTGCAATTTTCGATGGTGATTTTCGTGTCTTCGACGATGGCAACGGCGAGGATGGTTGTGCTGCTGCTGCCATTGGTGTGCTAAGAATTTCAATTATTTCATTATCATGTTTTGATGTGTCCACTTTGATAATGTCATCCATTTTCATCTCGTTCGCCAAAACATCAATGTCGGGTGTTTGAATTATTGGTTCCGATGTTGAATTTGTATCATCATTTGGTGATGAATTTTGTGAATCGAAACGACGCAATAGTTTTGATACCTTACCTGATTGTTCGAGTAGGATGCGTTGTGAATGCGGTTGTTTTTCACGAGATGCACTGCTTTCAAGGCTCTTTTTACGCATTTTAACGGTATTTGTAAAATCAGATCTCATAATTGGTTCCTTTTCAACGATACGCTTTTGATGCAAACTTGCCGAACGCATCAATGATTTTTGTGCCGGTTTTATTGGCAACGATTTCGGTTGATCTTCTGCATCTTGTGTGAAATCAACATCGTCAAAATCAAATGAGTACGATGTGCGCATTTGTTGTGAATCCATTTTTTGTTCGATTTTTGTTTCTTCCATTGAATCATTTGACTCAACAACATGTGGTGCTGATAGTTTTTTTACTGATTTCTTATGCGTTTGAACAAATACTTTGCTTTCTTGATGAGCCTCGGCCATTTTTTCTAATTTCAGTTTTAACATATTCACCGATACCATACCATTGAATTCTTTCACATTATTTGCACTGCAATCACGCTGAGACTGATCATTATTCGATTTTTCTTCTAAGATCGAATTGATTTTATCAAACAATGGATGCGTTGCGGTTACATTTGACGATGCATGAGCACCATTGCTCGATGCATTTCCATTACTAATGTTTGAACATTCACTGAATCCACTGTCACTTCGTTCGGTGCATGTTTTGAGTTTTTCACATTTTTCCTTCGATCCGTTGGACAACATGACCGGCAACTGATCAATCACTGTATGCAACTGACCGTCGTTCATATTATCGATTTGATCAGTTGATAGCTTTTGTGCGTTTGGCGGCGGAGGCAATGGAATTGGTTCGGATATTATTTCTTCTTCATTTAATGGCAGCATTGATGGTTTTAATGATTCCGTTACGTGATTTCCGTTACCATTTGATGGCCGTGGACTATTTGCAACCGTCGATGTGGATGAGTTTCGACGAGAATTGGCCGACAGTGTAGCCATGCGTCCCAAGGCACGAATTGCATTTCCAGTTTTCTATTATCAGTTAGTATTGACAAATCAAAAACACACATAAAATTGCAACATAAAATAATAAGTAAGCAAAATATGGTTCATGAAAAAAAGAGAAGAAATTACAACAATGAGCACATGCAATAAATTTATATCGAAACGGTATATGGTTTTGATTGTTTCCGTAATGACGGCATCATAATCATAAATGTCTTTTTTTTGTTTCATGGAAAACAGATTGTACCCAATGCAAAAGTACACTGACAACCACTTTTGTGTCATGTAATGTTTCCAGAATATTAACAGATATTCTTTGGATTATTATGGTGTTGATACCGATCGAAATGATTAAAATACCGATATTTATGAAACAATACTACATTTTTGCTATCTATTATCAGTACGAGAACTAAGTAGATCCAAATAGAACGACCAAGTGTTTTTTTTCTTTTTCTAGGTGCACGGACAAGGTCATAAACACAAACAAATGACAGTTTAGATAATATTGGAGAAAAAAAAATTGTGTTTCGGAATCAATCCAATTTATGACATTCTCATGCCATAGTATTCTTATCGTTTTGAATCTATTAGTTCTTTTGCTTCATCGTAGCTTGATAAGGTAAATGTTATTTTCAGAAAAGAAACAAAATCCAAACTTGATAAAACACACGAAAAAACCCCAAAATTGTTGAGACGCATGAAATTAGAGAATTGTAGATACAAACCTGCCATTTACGGCGAATAATGAACTTCTTTAGTTTATCTGTACAAATACGTATTTTACTTGATGAATCATCATTTTGTTGTGATAACCATGTTGATTCCAAACATTGTTTGGCCGATAATCGCTCCTCCTTTCTATGCACCAACAAACTGGAAATGAAATCTTTAGCATTCTGTGTTACCGTTTCAAATGCTTCATCATCAAAATCATAATCAGCTCGAGTAATATTCGCAAATGTGTCCACATCTGAGTCACCCATGAATGGTGAAAGGCCAGACAATCTACAACAAATAATTTCAAAGAAAAAAAGATATTGTATGGTTTTTTTTCTCTTCTCACAATTCATTGTTTTGCAAATGCACACTTACAAAACGTAACAAATAACGCCAACGCTCCACATGTCTGACTTGAATCCGATCGGTTCATAATTCAAAATCTCCGGACTTATGAATTCTGGCGTTCCGAACATGACACGAATGGGACTATCGCTTTCAATTCGTTGCGCCAATCCAAAATCAATAATTTTTACCTGCGATTGACAACAATTTTCAATTAACCAGTGGTGGAATTAAATTGAGCCGTTCAATATTTTCATACATAATAATAATACTTACTTTGTGACTCGTTCGTGTGTGACACATAATATTTTCTGGCTTCAAATCCAAATGTACGATTGATTGAGAGTGCATGTAATCAACACCCTCGCATATTTGACGAATAAATAGAATACAATCGTGTTCGGTCAATGTAAAATCATCAGCCACAACACGTTCGAAGAGCTCACCGCCGGTTATGCTATAAAAAAAATGAATTACCACAAAGAAATGTTCAATAATTACTTCCGATTCAACATTCAATTGAAAGTTTCAATTTAAAACTTACTATTCCATGACCATAATCATTTCACGGGTTGTTTCAAATGCGGCCGCCAATTGAAGAAGTTTCGGATGTCGAAGTGCTCGCATTATGGAAATTTCTTCTTGAATCTTTGAATAAAAATCAAAATCACCGTTGAGGCAACCACATAAAATGAATTTGCATTCGATGTTTTCTTTTTACCTTTAATTTATCTTTTGCTTTGATACACTTTACAATTTTAGCCGCCAACACTTGACCGGTTTCGCGTTCGACCACACGATGTACGACACCAAATCGACCTTTACCAAGTTCCTCTTCCAAAATAAATCTCGCTTTAAAATCACCACCCTGTCGAACAATAATTTCGTTGCCATCAATTGAATCTTCATTTATTTCCGGATTTTCATTGGTCATATTCATCGTCGATAAAATGTTAGCAATTTTATTGTGGCCATTGTTGGCATTTATCATAACAACATCGCTGCACAAACTTGGTTCGCTGCGACCATGAACATTTTCAGCTCGTACACGAAATCGATATGCATTTCCTGGTTGTAAATCTTTGATTGTATATGCCAAACTGTCAACAATTGTTGCATATTCTTGCCATTCGTGCTCTCCCTGCTGTACTTCAAGGCTAAAATATATTATTATCGGGAGAGGGAGAGAGAGAGAGAGAAAAATTGAAATTGGAAAATTGAGTTTAAGATGAAACGGTAAATCCAAAGGCAAAGAGAGAAAACTCTTACATAAAACCAGTGATAATGCAACCTCCATCATATGGTGGGCCACACCATGCGATCGATACACGATCAACTCCTTGAGAAATGCACGGTCGACCACTTGGCGGGTCTGGTGTACTTTCAACGGCAACCGAAGCCGCTGCAACATCGCAATTATGTAAATTCATCACTTCAACCGTATATTTACCACTTTGATCGGCTTGAATGTTTGTCAATAGTAGCATTGACGATCCGTTGCCGATTTTTATTTCAATGTCTTCACTTTCAGTCAATACGTGACCCTATTTATTGTAAACAAATAAATAAACAAACAAAATTGAATCCATCCGTTTCGAAACTTAAAGTGCATTTAATGCGAAAAATCTTTAATGTAAAAGTCTAGCAATAAATCGATTAAACACAACGCAAAAGCAAACCGATCAAATCAACTGTCATTCGATGACTGTCATCACACGAATTCTACTCATTATTTTGATGACTTTGAGGTTTTGTCTTGCGATTCGCAAATATTATGCATATGTGTATATATGATCATATACACCGTTCACAGTGTTTAATTACACATTTGTCAATTTCATTTCATTCAAATCATACCCACCACCGCTAATATTGGTATTAAATTATTCTGCGTATATCGCATTTCATTGCATTCAATTTTCCATTTTAATAATATAATTCAAAAGGTTAGAGAGTGATTGCAATAGCATTGGAGCATGTGTCGATTGTAAACCAACCGGAATCTTCGGTAAGTTCATCGGATTATTATTCGCAAATGTTTAGCGTAAATGATCGTTTGGCTAACATTTTCATTACCGATCAACCATTCGTCTGCACTGTCTTAACATTTAAACACATTTATTAGGTGCACCAAACTCTCTCTCTAACTTTAATACTTGATTATTTGTTTGGCTACTTCTTCTTTTTCTTTCTGGTTTTATACATCACAAAACGCACACGGCCGACCATTTCGTTAGCTTTTATAATCATTAGCAGGAACTGCTTAACCGTTTATAAATCGTTAAAAAAAATATTTTTATTGATTATACACCAATCAAGTTAAATATAAAAATGTGAACGATTCAATTTGCGTTGTAAAATCAAACACCGTTTTTTTAACGCAAACAAACACCTCAACGAATGTAATAAAGCAGCGAAAACCGTTTTTTTTATTTTTATTCAAAGTGATTTTTTTTTTCAAAATAAATAACTCATAATCAATTGGATATTTGACAAGAAGTTTTTTTTATTTAAAAAGTAAACGAGAAATATCCAATACTTACAGCTCGTAGCCATTTGATAGATGGTTTCGGATATCCACCATAAGTGACGGTCAAACAAACCGTTCCACCAATTAATGCGGTACAATCGTCTGGACCACGAATAAGATAGGCTGGAACATCAGCAATTGTCTTAAATGCTTGTTGCGTAATCGATGGGTTTGCATGCAAGTCGCCACAATGAATTGATTTTGAGTTGATGAAAAATGCGCTTGGGTCTGGTTCGAATTCAACGGTTGCCAATTGAGCGGGCCGCGGTAATACAGCCAAATCGGTATAGCACGAGCGTTGCGCCAGCACGGCATTCAATGGATTATAAACGATACACTGAATTTCACCACTGTAACGATGCTCAACGCCAAGTATATGAAGAATTCTCAAACCGTCGTCGTTACTCTCAATCTAAATCAATAGAGAGAAAAAAAACACAAATACACAAAAATTCATTTGAGTCACTGGGATTTTACACGCTCTCATCGAATTGACCGCAGTTTTGAATGGAGAGAGAAAAAAAAGCAATCGGAATTTTAACACTTGTGTAAACGATCACTTTGTCCGTTTCTCTTATTTGCACATCCAACATGTGCTCTTTTAAAATTTTGATTGTGAAAGAAAAAGGTTGATCAATACTGGAAAGATTTCCTATTTTTGTCTTAAGTATTGTTAAATACACTATACCAATTGATAAATTTACATTTGATTTAAATTGTCTTCGGTTTGTTTTTCTCATCCACAATTTCAATTCATTCAAACAATCATTTGTTTCAATTGAAATATTTTCTAATTATAATGTTTTGCACGCGAAATCGTATTTATTTGTTTATTGATTGTAACACACAATCGTGACCAAATGAAGTCACTATCTGAACTGGACTGAATCGCTTAGTCAACTGACTAACAGAAATTAATAACGCACCGATTGTTTCGATATGCAACAGGCACTCTCGCACACACAGCACACAATATCTGGTATGGGTTTTTTTTCTTCTCTCTGTGTGTTTATAAACATGATATTATATGAAGATATTGGTTTTTTTTCCTCTTCTGTCTTATTTTCTGTTCATTTATTTATAGCATTTCTTCTTTGGTGTGTCTTTGTTGTGGTTTATCTTTCTTTTGCATTTGTAAACGTGAAGAACTTAGATAATGCATAACTTATGTTTGTGTGGTGTGTTGAGAATGCAATACTATGCGCATACTTCACGTACACGCCCGAACAATGTTCGTCATCTCACTCTGTCCCGCGCTTATAGAGAAATTCCAAACGTTTTTTGTTTTCACTCCTATCAGCATTTACTTAGATGCATAGAGTCTTGTGTCGATGTGATGCATTGAACGATGCACATTATTTCCAAATGAAAGAGAGAAAAAAATCCATTTGCCGAAATTTGTTTAAATGAAGAAAATCATAGAAACAGTTTGCAGACGAAAAATGTGTACAAAAATTGACGAAAAAACATGTACGAAATGTATAATATTTGAAATTTTGTTCGGGTCACGTTCATATGTGATATGACTGACGTCGCATTTGTAGTATATTAATCTTTCAACAACTGAATCCGAAATGTATGCGGTACAACAATTTCATTTGGTTTCTTTTGTCCTCCGGCAAAATAGAAACAAACAACAACAACAATATATAAATAAACCGAAAGGTGAACCGACATCTTGCCCTATACACTTTTTCGATTTGCATTTGATCAATACGATCAACGAATACATTTCGCTCGAACACGAATGGCTGATGTGATGCAAAACGTCAATTCCTAATCGAATTTTTATCAGTTTGTCAATGAGTTCGTTATATTTAGATCATATAAAACCCACAAGTAATTGTGGCTTCTACCGAAAATTGATGACATCAATGAAATATTCCCAAAATTCATGATATGATTCATGCTATAAATTCGTATCGCTTATCACCCAGTGTTATCTAGAGTGTACGTTTAGACTTTGCTTGTTTTTAACAACAGCTCAGCATTTTGAAGCGAAGCGAAATGATGCAGCATTTTGGAGATGTATAAATTGTCATTACATGTGAACATTTGAATAAAGTTATCAATTAAAATGATCATTCAATCGTATTGCATGCGTTGCGTTCGAGTTTGATTTGTGTTCGGCCGCTTTGTTGAAGCCATATATATTCAACCAGCGGTGGCAATTTAATTTCAATTTAGTTTTTAATGTCATTTTAATAACTGAATGAATTTCGTTGACTGAATTCTTTTTATTAAAATAAGCGAGTGAGATAGAGGGAGAGCGAAAGAGAGAGAGAGAGAGAGAGAGAGAGAGAGAGAGAGAGAGAGAGAGAAAGAGAGTGCTTCACATGTGAATAGCGCAAAAAAAACACACTCAAAACGAATTGATCAAAATTAGTTCAATTTCTAAGTTTGTTCTTGAAAATTCGTTCCCAACTCAAACCTACACACGATCACACAATTCTAACTTAAAACCAAACTGTATTTGCATTTTAAAGACGTCGCTTTGATGCAAATTGACATATGTTTCTTTCAAAACACACAAGACAAAGCGCATGTGAATGTAATTCGAGGCCTTTGGTTTTTTGTTGCTGTTTTTTTGCTTCTTTTCTCACAAGATTCGGTTTCTATTTACATTTAACTGGCAATTGTGCTGTGCGCCTCTTTTTATATGTGATTTTTGCTCTTATTTTTTTTTATTGAATTTATATCTTCTAATTTGACGGCAGCTTGATCTTTTGCATGTTATTTTGTGCACAGCAGGTAAATTGCCCCTGATGGTTTTGTTTTACATATAAATTAAATAAACAAATTACACTTAATTCAAGTCTAATTAATTCATATTGGAGTTTTCAATCGATTCAAATGAAACTTATTGTTTTCATTCAATTTCTGCGATACATACCGAAATCATTTATATGTTGGAGAAGAGTTGCAATGATTTGGATAATAATTGAAAACGTTCGGCCATGTAACTAGTAAACTTTCAATGTGAATTTAGCGTGGTGCAATTCGAATTTCGTGTGCGTACGACTTCAAATTAAACTGAATTAAATTCTATACTTACAATGGTGCCACGTGAATTTTCTGTAATTTCGCGACCACAAACGAACCATTTAACTTTGGATGCGACTGGCGACACTCGAGCACAAAATGATACAACCGAACCGTGCATTGCAACAACCGGAACGGGCTCCTCCATGAATGTTGGAATCGTTTCACGCATTACTTCTTCGGCTTCTTTGATTGTAACCTCGCATGATGTTGAACAGCATCCATATTCCGATGCAACCATGCATGTATAAAAACCGGAATCAATCGCCAATGGATTTAACACGCGTAACGCAATTAATCCATCACCATGGTCAATTAAACTGTCAAATAGACGGATTAAGAATTGCAAGAAAAAAAAATCGAACAAAAAACAAAATAACACAATAATGAGTTAATACTTCGTGTGAAAAAAGTGGCAGCCGCAATTAATTATATCATATCGTTTTATAAAAGAATATCTAATATTACGTACCGGTAGTCTTGTGTAGTGGCTGGAATCATTTTCGAATTGTATTTCCACTGGACTTCGAATGGTGTAAAACTTTGCACTTGACACGTTAAATCCAAGTGTTGTCCACTTTCAATTTTTTTAATTGATTCAAGTGTTCGCACAAATTCGGGTGCCTGTTTTACAATTTCACTTTCGTCTTGGAATAATGTCACATAAGTTGATGATGCAGCAATGCTGTGCTCATTCTCCGCAATCAGTGTGTAAATGCCTTCGTCTTTTGTTTGTACATTATCGATAATTAAATTAATGCTCATATCGTCGTTGGTATCGATTTTAATGCGTGGATCATCTAAATTAATGTCATTTCCATTATGATAAAATTTTCGTGTTGGTGCCGATGTGCCACGAAAATTGGCAGCCAATGTAAGTCGCCCGCCAATTCGTGTTGAGCTGCCCATTAAACGTCGTGACACACTTATATTACGTCTTGGCGATGAACCAATACGTAAACCACGACCAGCTGCACTTCGGCCACTTCCGATGATATCGAGACGAGCCGTTGCCTCAATGCGACCGTATTCATTTTCAAGCGTAATACGATAGAGGCCAGCATCTTCGTGTGTAACTTCCTCAATTTCTAAGATTCGTAGATCATCGCGTTCTTTGATGGTTATTCGTGTGGTTGGTGTTACAATTTGACCATCTTTATCCCACGTTGACCTATCAATACAATCATAGATTTTCATCACACAATCCAGATTTCCAATATGCTTTTTTTTTTTTTTTTCTTACCAAGGCATTGGATGACCGGCAATTGCACATTGAAATTGCACCGTCTCACCCTCTTCAGCCACCCGACTATGTGGTACTGCATAAAATTTCGGTGACATAAATTTATTGTGACGTTGATGTGTTACATTGATACTAGTCGATCGATAGGACATTGACATTGGCGACATACTCCGAATCGGAGTTGCCCTCGGTGTGGATCTTGGAGTCGAATTTGCTGATAATAAACCACTCGGTCTTGTTAACTGACGACTCACTAAATTCTCTTTTTCTTCAGCCACTGAAAAAAAAGATGACGAGAAATTGATTAGTTTCGAAATCTCAACAACGCGTTAAATATAACACACCATCAACAATTATACAAGCCGATGAAAATGTTTTGCCAATACTGTTTGATGCATATATTTTATATACGCCTTGATCTTCTGGATAAACACGTCTGATTGACAATATCGCGCGGCCGCCATCGTAAGATGTGTTAAAATCGTTACTTGATTGTAATTTTCTGCCATCCTTCTCCCAAATAATGATTGGCTCTGGCATTGCTTCTACATGACATTCCAAACGAACACTGTCACCATCACAGCACCGAACATCTTTCAATTGCCGCTTGAATATCGGCAATGTTTCAATATTCCTAAAGAAAAATGATACCGCATAAAATTTCACATTGACGAGCGAAGTATAAAAATAAAAATTTAAATTCATTTTACCCATGCGTAATATTCTTTGTTTTATCCATTGTGTTATTCAGGTCTGTAGGTTATGTAAAACGAAATAAAATAAAAACACCACCCATAAATAATGATATGGTAAAAATGGGCCGGTTCCAAAAATGGACACTTACCCTTTGCATAAATCTGTAGGGAAATTATGGCTCTGGTTTCACCATGACAATTAGAAGCAATTGCTGTATATGTGCCAGTATAGTCCAATTTCGCACGCGGTATTTCTAAACGATATTCAGGCCCATCACCAATGCGACGGAAATGTGGAGCATCCTTATAATATTCAGGCTGAAATGAAAATTAATACAAAATTTAACATAAAAATCATTCGTTTTTGTTTTTACAAATATCGATCGTGAGTGCAACACTTTTTATAGCAAAGATGATGATGTCCTTGTGTTTGAATCAAAATATGCGACAGAAAGAGCACAACAAAATAAGACGAAAAACAAAAAAAAAATAATTGCAATTTAAAAGTTATATGCAACTGCCATTTCTCATGAATGATTTCAGCTGTATATGTATTGTATAAATACATTTTGTAGATTCAAAGAAACGCCGCACGACACAATTTTCGCTTATGAATCATTCAAAATTGGTTTCCATTTTTGGTGTTAAAATTCAAGAGACAACAAACGAATACCCCAGTGTAATGTTTATGCGCACATATATCGTGTTTCATTTTTCATGAATTACCTTATTGAATTCACACATACACTAGACGACTTTCTTAAACGAAAATCTGTAATGCAATTTAACAGAAAAAGTTCATTTAAATTGCCGGTCATTTGCGTTTATTGTGCAAAGTTCATTTTATTGTCGCCACACACACACAGCAAATTTACATATACAAAAAAACCGTCATCAAATCGAAAAGTTAACGAAAATTAATACGGCTGCAAATAAAATTAACGACCGCAACAAAATCGTTTAGAATGTAGAAAATGTTAAAAGTTTTAAATTACGGTGAAACCTTTCAATATGATTTCCACCTACTCGTTTCCATATACGATAAAGGTTCCAAATGTTTACATTTATTAATTATGATTTAGCTAAATCACACTTCAAAACCTTCACAGTAAAAATTACAGTAAAAAATATTTTCGATGAATGCATAGATCAGTTCAATGAGTCGCTTCAGCTTTCCATTATATGGAGGTTTTACTGTCGATAAATGACAGTAGCCATATGGCATTTTAAACATCGTGTTTTTTTCTTCTTCAATCGATTGGAATATAATTAGAGCATAATCAGTCAATTAAGTCTGGCGCTCACTTTTTTTCTTCACATTTTAATGCGTTTATAATCGCTGTATGAAAAGGTGCCGATGGAAAAATGAATAAATCTGTCGATTAATGAATGACAAAGACTAAGCACTACAGTATCAATTACGAGGTTTGAAAAGTTTTAAGATGAATTGCTAGCGATTCTTTATATTTTGCTACAAAAGAAATTTGTCATTTATTTTGATGTTTGACAATAATAATCGGAATGTTGAAAGTTGATAAAAAACGTAAGTATGTTTATGCTTTATCAAAATGTCTTATCGTTTAGCAAAAAAAAAAGTGATCGATAATTTGTTGATATAATAAAATCGTTAGATATTGCTTGCGGTGCAATGTCGATCCGACCGACTCGGTCGTTTATTGCATTTATTTTATAATTGTAGAGTGTTTTTATCATGTGCGATGTGTATATTAAGTAATAATTTTGCACAGTTTGCATTTAACTGAAATTACATATGAACGTAGAATCGATTATTACCTGTTGATGTTTTCTACATTTTATCACCTTACCTAATATGGCTTATATTTAAATAATAACGATCATTATATGGCAAGCGATCATTTAATCTTGAACGAAACAGGAGATTTCAAAGTTTAAATGTTTTTTCATGCAATTACTATGGTAAATTTGTTATCTTATGAAACTTAAAATTCTCTGCTGTTTCAAACTCAGAATCAAAAATGATTTGTAACTGCAAAATATTTAGTTTATTTTTTTAACACTTTAAAAAGATGCAATATTTATCATTGGTAAATTAGCTTCAATTTATTGAGATCGCAAATTTCAGTGCAAAGTGGTAATTTTTGTTCCAGAAGATCCCGAAACTCTGGTTTGAAGTGTTCTAACAATAGTGAATTTTGATCTATTTACATAACCTGATGAGTTTTTATAAAATATCCGTAGTTATTCAGCCAATTAAAATGGCCACAATAAAAACGCCGTATGTAATACGGTACCGTAGTTTTCTGCATTTTAAATTCTATTCAATTCACAGAGTACTAATACACTTCAAAGAGTTTATGCACGATATGTGATACATGATAACACGAACGTTTTGGTCAACAATGCCCTGGGAAAAATTTGAATTTAAACCACATTTGTGTGTTCGTGCCTTTTTTCGTGATACGATCTTTTTTGACGCATTCCATTCAATCATAAAATGAATACTCTCCAAAGATCTTTTTATTTAGTCGTTGTTATTTTTTTTTTTTTTTTCATTTTTTTGGCGGTGTGTTCGATTGCATTGATTTCGTGATTCACAATGCTCTCTGAAAATGATCTGATTACGTGATTTATTTGGAAATCGATATGCATAAGAGATATTGTCGATGTTTTTCTTATTTTACAATTGATGATGTTACCTTTGCACGCGCTCGGATGCGGCTGATTTGCCTTGTGCATGGTAAAATATATGTATATATGTGTATATATAATACAAACAACATAGGTATGCTGCATTTGCATCTGTTTTTTTTTCTTCCTCTTTTTTTCGTTCGACTTTTTTTGTTTTTGTTTGATGTACCATGCAAAACAGGTTTCGGCGAATAGCAATCAATGTTTCTTTGCTCTTCACTCGGGACGTAATGCACATTTGAGGCAATGACTGAAATATCAGCAGCGAAAAAATGTTGTACTCTTTGGCTGCTTCGGCTGGCTGTTGGTGCTGCCATCGCTGCTGCTGTTGCTGTTTTTGTTTTGGTTGATGGTATTTTCGCGTAGATCAATTTGATGTGGTGGCATTTTTTTTTCTCCGCTGGTCATGGCACTCTCCATGTAAAATATCATCCAAGCGTACAAGCGAAATCTCGTAAATCGTATCTAATGTTCTCGTTTATGTGTGTGTGTGTGTGTGTGTGTGTGTTTGTTTTTTAGAAGTTTGACTCGGTTTGGTTACATTGTGCTGAGCAATTTAAGGAATGCAAAAGAAATTAAAGTAACTCCCATTTTAGATGACAACACAAAGGACTTATGTCTTGCAGCGTGATCATGCTGTGAGTGTTCAATTGCCGATGGAATTCAGAAGATCGACTTGATACATTGAACCATTTCGTGCTTCTTTTATCATTTCTTTTTAGCATAGCTAACGCCACCAACTTGGCACACGCGCACTCACATAAACAAAACAGCAAAACAAGAAGAACCGAACGTAAACCAAACCAAAACAGCAGCAAACAACCAAGATGAAAAGTATACGCTCTACATATTTTTCAAGACATTAATTACATTTTTCGCGAATAGTTTTCGCATTTTATCGCTTGATGCACTAAGCATCACATCCAAATAATATATATATATACATTTTTAGTCTCAAAATTATACGATGGAAAAACGAAATTCACCATACACGATTATAAAAGAATGGCCAAGGCCCAAAGCCAACCAAATGAGAGAAACCATTGTGAGGTAAACGGAGCGTGGATCCGAAAACGAAACGAAACAAAAAGAAAACTGCACACATCGACCCAACCGCCGTTAATACAACATAACATCGACAATTGAAATAACAACAACAAAAAAACGTGTAACGTTTTGACATAGTTTCTTTCCTTTTCGAATAACATCAAACACTTTTCGTTTGTTTTCTTTCAATTTGTTATTTTAATTTTTGTTTTTTTCATTTTGTTTCCATCATATTTAAAAGTTCGATTGTTCTGTATTTGCTTTAATTTACTTATTGCAGACGTCAGCACATATATACACGTGCGCATTTTTCGTTGTTATACATATGTTTGCCAGAAAGTTTGCGAATCAATCAAACAAAAATGAACAACAATAATTTCATTTATCTGTTCTACGCTCTCATCTTGTTTCATTTCAAATGAGTCGGCGTTTTGAATGCTTCATTTAGATTTCATCATGTTTTATGTGCAAATATAGTTTCGGGCGAATTTTTCTTTTTTTGCTGTCTACAGCTACACTTATTCCAACAAAATGTTATTCATTCAAGAATTATTCTCGCGATCTTTTGAACATTTACGCTGCATTAAATGATCGATCATAGAGTTAAAGTTATACTTAACTCCCTATAACTCTATGATCTGGTGTTTTAATATGTAAAATTATTATGTTAAAAATTGCAACGAATGAAAAACTATGAAATGACCTCGACACCGGCCGACACATTTATTTAAAAAGAAAACGATCACCTTAACAATTTGATTTCATGCAGTCTAGTTATTTATCTCATTACACAAAAAATATAATGTTTCCTTTTGATAAAAATGTTCACATTCAGTTTTATTTGATGCTTTGATGAAGCGTTTCGTTAATAAAGTATTTCCGTTAATCGATTCAAAAACAACCATCTTGGGAAATTGGTACGAACACGGTTGTTGTTGTTGTTGTTGAGTTATTGTGCGCAATTCAATTGCAAACAGTCATTGGTGTGCAGCATCAATAGAATATCGATAGAGTTTGAATTAGATTGGGTTTGTTTCACAAATTACATTCGCCTGCGTATTGAAAAGTTTTGTAATTGATTTATGGAAGTGAATGCTTTCGAAACCGCTACATATCAAATGTATTAGAGTTGAGATTAATAAAGCAATTTAGTTGTTAGACTCTATGTTTAACTGCGTCACATCGTTGTTGGTTTTTTTTCCCTCGAATATCGCTTTATCGTGATGGGAAGAAATGCGTTGATTTGTTCCTCATTAAAATGTATCGCATCATTATATGTTATGAACATTTTGCAGATGCCGGAGAAAAAAGAAGAAACGTTGGTCTTCAATACAAGCTTCGGGAATGATAAGTCATTGAATGGGCAATAGACATCAAGTTGTCACTGCATGTAATATACTAGCATTACTCCGAAATGTGAAATTCTTATGTTTTATTTATTATAACATTCGATCACTTGTTGATGTGAACGTGATCAATTGTGGATTGGGTCTTTTTTTGCGAATGAAAATACCGATTTTCTCCATGATTATTGAAAAACTGTCATGTGAATTAAAACGTGATGTTTTAATATTTCGCTTTCCCTTTTCTACGATCGATAT